CCGTTCCTAATTTAGCAGTGTAAGACTAGAGGGAAGGCAGCTAGTCATCACCACCCATCGCGAACTCTTGGGCTACTCGTTTACCAACGAATAGTGGGATTGACCGACACTTTATAACGCCCCAAGGGCTGAAAGGGCGAGCATGTTTGGTGTAACGGGGATTCTAGCCCGCGACCCTCAGATTGTGAGTCGAGTTCCCTAACCACCTGGCCATGCCGGACCCTGAGCTGATAGACTAGAGGGAAGACAGCTAGTCAACATTGAGCTGATAGACTAGAGGGAAGACAGCTAGTCAACACTGAGCTGATAGACTAGAGGGAAGACAGCTAGTCAACACTGAGCTGATAGACTACAGGGAAGACAGCTAGTCAACATTGAGCTGATAGACTAGAGGGAAGACAACTAGCCAACAGCACTTACCGCCAACCTTTGGGTTACTTTTGTGTGGCCGAAAAGTGGGATTTAACCGTCACTCTTACAACAAGCATACTGCCCAAAACTGCGGAGCGCGATTTTTATTTCTGCAGAATCGGGACACAAAAGATGCCACTGTACATTCATTGTGCCACACTAGGCCACGTATCTAATGTAGAATTTGTTATGATAGTGCAATCAAAATTTAATTTCTCCAGCTTTAAGCTCTGTTCAGGTGTGCCTGTGAATCAAGCTATCAAAGTTAGCAATTTTGAAGAGTTGTGTGATTTTTCAAATAAAAACATAGAACATTTATTTCATAATACTACCAGTACAGTTTTGTTCGCACATTTTATGCTTAAAATGATGGAAATGCAGTTTTGGCTGGGTTTCTGCCCCAGAACTTGCTGGAGGAGCGCTCCTTCAGACCACTTATCCGGACATGTGTCCAAGTTTTTATCACCAAAATCTGCCAACTGTATCCATATACCTCTGTGGCTACAAATCAGTATTTGTCCATTCTTTTGCTGTTAGTGATTACATACTTTTATCAGAACAGAAAAACAAACACACAAAAAAAGACATGTAAATATTGACCCTTGCTACAACTGACAGGTAGGGGCTTTACTTTCATGTGATTACACCTTGCCATTTTTATAACAATTAATATTATTTTCCCGTTTCTTATTAAATGTCGGAGCAATAGCACTGCTGAACGTTAGAACGGTGGTTCATCAGTAAGATCACAGACTTACAACAGTAAAATTCGGGGTTCGATTCCCCGCTGTAGACGGAGCGTAGATAGTTGAAACGTGGGTGTTCTTACTTAAGTGTGCAGTACCCTCCTCAATAAACCCACACTGGCATGAAATGAATGAGGCCTGTCAACAACAGCGTCTCAGAGTCTGATACACAGTCGGTACCTAACGGAAGTCAGGTGCAGCACGAGCTAGTGCAGAAGGCTTGGTCTGGTACGTGTGTTTGTTTTAGGTTATCTGTTTCATAGTTTCTTATAATTTTTACTTTTTCTAATCTGTTAAAATTCCCTTTCGCACATTATTCGAGGCAGAGAGAACAAACACATGTTTTAAACTACTGTGATCTACACGATACTATGATCTAATATCAACGATGATATATATATATTACCTCTCGTTTATATGAAACTGAAATATGGTTCCACTCCCACGTGTAGTGAAATCCTGATCCAGGTAGTAAGGTATGTAGAATTGAAGTCTGATATATCAAGATCTTGTGAGAAAG